TATAAACATGGAGGCGAAATGAAACCTCACAACGAATAAAAGAACAAACTCACGAATAAACACACTGCAGTTATAGAGACAATATGGTCAAGACATCTGATAAATAGGGAACCAAAATTCCTGCATTGGGTTTAAAAACCAACGGAAAACAATTATGCTTTTTCATAAAAAATATAGGTAGGGAATAACCTAACCAGCAGAAGCAGAACCGTGTACATTTAAGATTGTTACGTGTGTGTGCATTTCTAATACAAAAATAACAGCAGTAATAAACTAGGTAGCAGCCACCTTGAAGAGCTCCATAAAAACAAAGTCACACCAATAATCAAATAAACATGTCAGAGAAACAACGGCCATACATCTTTTCTCGATGTAAAAGAAAATGTAAATCTGCAATTATAAAAACAAAACTATACTTTATATTGAAAAAAACATAACTCACATAACACATCAGTACCTGACAGAATACAAAAGACTAATCTAATTTAGTCACTTTGGCTACCACAACTCAGAAACAACCTACACCTTAAAAGGTTCAGATGATGTGAGGAAGAGGCGATAAAAGCACAGCTAATACAATCATCAAACCAGAGCATATATCTGCAATCACGCAATCACCAGAACCAGATAAAGCATCAGCGCCCAACAAGCGGTCATACACCTGAATCAAACATCCATCAACAACTCAATCCATCGCTCAATTGAACCATAAAGCACACAAACAGCTCCACTCAACAACCATGCAAAACAGAGTTCACGCAACTTGAAATAAATAACCAAAACAGCACAGAAAGCATAGCGACAGCTCATGCGTCTTTCCTACTAACATACAAAATAAAAACCGGATTACCCAAATTTTTTGAAAAAAGTGGTAAAACAAGAGAGAACAACTAAGCTGAGAAATGCAGCCATTAATGACAAGAAAAACCAAAAATGCCCAAAAACAAATTTATGGCACAGCCAAATCAAATTTCTGAAAATGATTTCTATCGTCTTACAACAGGCTACAAATATGCAACAGCATTTTAAAGGGACATAATAGTAACATTTACAATAAAGAGTTGGCTCCCATCAATCAAAATCAATTTGATGGTTTAATGCAGAACTTGAGCCCAAGCCAGAGTTTCCATCCAACAAGTAAAAATACACATTTTCATCATATAAATGCGTGCATTGAGAATACATTCAAAAGGAAAGCACCAGCATAATCCCACTACTTTATTAACCCTTCAACTCAATTGTATTACTAAAGATCAAACCATACAATTTCAACTACATTAGCCTCAACGTCTAAAGCCAGAATTCATATGTCACCTCCAAATATTTCAATCACATTTCACATCTGAAACCTTCTTATATTTATTCAAGAATACTTATATCGAGACACACTCAAAGAATGGGATGAAAACTACACACTGAGAAAACTCCAACTCCACACAAAGCTCATCAGGCATGTAATACCATGATCACCACATTTGAACGTAAAATTATGTTACGATGTTGAATCAATCCCATCACATCCCAAATGAAAACTATACCAACAGACACAAGAAGAAAAGCTTCCCCCAGTGTCCCAGAAAAAGAGACATTTGGGACCTCAATACAAATTAATTTAAAATAAAACACGCATGCAACCTCATCCATACTCGAACAAAATCACTGAACAAAAATGTTTAACAACACAATCAACTCAAACTCAACAAAGCATCTCTTAAAGACCCAGCATCCCAACATCCCTACAATCATCCATATGTAAGAGGTAAAAAGTACAAATGAATGCATCATCCAGTTTTATGAAATACATTAGTTAAGTAAAAGTAGCAAACACTACAATAACAGAAATATGTACTTCAACTATCACAGACTACAAACAATAAGCATTGTGAAACTCATTAAAACTCAAACTCAGTCATATGAGCTTACCAGAAATTAAAATATAGGTTAATATAGGCACAAGACAGGCTACACGCTCCTCCTTGTTTTTGTTTTTTTTTGACGAATTGATTCAGTTGGCAACTCCATTGGTTTTGGTTGTTTACTACATATGATCTAACAAGATAGATTATAACATAACTGTTACATATTTTATCTTATAATTATGCTCAGATTGAAACTTTAGAGGCAACACAACTAGGAGGATAGGATACAGAGAAGTGCATGAAACTATTTGACAAAAAAAAACACACTCATAACAAAAGAAGGCAAAGAAAGGAGAAATACTACAACCAAGGGAAAAATTATGCAAAATGAAAACACTTCGCAACAAAACCAAAGTGAATTTAAACAGTCACAAAGACAAGGAAATTCACGAACAGAGATGCCATGGATCCTAGGCAAGGCACGTGCAACAAAGAACAAATGCAAGAACTGACGCAAAGCAACAACCATTATAAAGCAACAACCACGCACGCCACAATGCACAGTGATCCTAACAAAGCACCAAATAATGCATCAAAAAATCACTAGCACAGCATTAAAGCAACGAAAATACCTCAGTAATAAGGTGGCACATTCGGGTACATCCCCCCTGGCGGAACCCTAGGCATGGGTGATGTTCCAGCTTGCTGGTGGTGCTGATTCTGATAGGACGACAAGCCGTAGTGCCCGCTCTCTGGGAACCTACTAGAGGGCAACCCAGCTGAACTTGGCGCCAATCCATACAAAGACGACCCAGTACCCACACCGCCACCGGGAGCTCCACCACCTGACGCAGCACCACCAAGTCCACCACCAGCTCCACCCAACCCACCAGCGCCACCTAAACCATAACCCAGCGA